TCAGAATAGTATGATCTGTTGCATGGCATGAATTAGACTCCATAATGAAGGGAGCCCAGTAGTACTCAATTGATGTATTATATATACCCCTGAAACACATTTCCAAAGCTCAGAATACCGGATATGAAGGTTGCATAAAGAAGGCATTCAACCTGGACAGATTTAGGCATTTAGCACTCCATAGGGAGCTCAATCCTCGAGACTCAAGCCATTTGTAAGAGACATGAAAATGATTTTAATTTTTATCAAAAACTCTGTTTTACAAAACTTTTAGCTTGAGTACCTGAAAAGCATGCTACTTTACTATTGCAAGTAAATGGTATCAATTTTGAAGGGTAATTTAAAAGAATATTGCATCATTATTGCAGGTGAATGATACTAAAAGTACAAGAGATTTGGTTCCATAGTACCTGGTTTGCAAGATGTTGAGAATTGATTCCATCTCACCGCCCAATATCACTTGTATCACAAAGCTTAGGATCCTGAAAATTCAGTTTGCAATTTCATTTAAATCTCCAAAATAATAGCAAGATAAATCATGACAAAACAACCCCCACCAATCCACTTAAAACCCAGAGAAAAGGGAGATCTTGAGTTTGAGCTAATTGACTCATCTTTCAAAAGGTGCTTAATTTAAGCCATACCTAGAAACCAATTTATAAAGATGTATACATCGCAAAAATGCCATAAAACCCACAATAAAGAAAAAAAAAATGAAGAAAGTGAAATGGAATAATAAAAGAATAATGTTGTTTCAACCACAAATATTAACCAATCTTATTACCCTCAATTCTTTTTAACTTAGTTTTTGGAAATTTTGGCATACTAAATACAATTACCATCAAATGACCAACGAACAAAACTCTAAGGAACAAGCAAAAGAAAAAGAAGAGAATGAAATGCAGTAAACAAGTCAAAATTTACTTACTACTTGGAATTTATGAGGGCTGAGCAATTATTTTAAAGCTGTAATTTCCTCCCATGCCATGCCTTTTCTGTTGTGATGATTCCTAGATGGATCTCCCTTTTCTGTTCACTTCAAACCATAAAAATTATTTCCTTTAGCGACTAAAAGAATCTAAGATTGCAAATGATATAAAGAAAATGAAATAAAATAAACATGGTTGTTTAGGTAGTGGAAAAACACCTGCAAAGGTGGAAGAAGGCTGGCGATGAAGGGCGGCTAGAGCGTTCTCCAGTGCTCAACTCAGCCAAGCAAAGGGAATTTGCAATTATAACAATATATCAAACACGAAAGGTATCACAAAAATTACATTTCAAATTGATAAAGAATCACATTCTATCAGTCAAACAGAGTAGAAATCCCATAACACAACATGCTTAACAACTTAATTACAACACAAAACAAATTACCAAGTGAAATCAGCACACTAAACCAAGTCCATCCAATAGATAAAAGACACATAAATTGAAAAAAAAAAAAAGACGATTATTGTCAATCAAATGAAGGAGTATTGGGTCTGGCTGAGTCTCATTTTTCTTTTGCTTTTCTGCTCCGAGAGAAGTTGCCTTCGCTTGATAAAAGATCCTACATGCAATATTAGAGCTTTAAAATATGTCAGAATCTAGAGAGAAGAGGCGACCAACAAATCGATCCTAAGAAAAATTATAGGAATTGAAGACATAGTGAGTGATAAAGTATGATTCCACAGTACCAAACTAGTTTGCAAGATATTGAGAAATCTCAGTCTATCATAAATATTAAAAAAAAAAAAAGAAAAGAAGAAAAAATGAAAATATTCATGTTCCAACCACGATTTTATTAGTTGATCATATTTTCTTAAGTTTTTAGGATGATAAGCACAATTCTCAATTTCTCATTTTATTTACTCGGTGATAAAAAGGGGTTTAAATTCCACCACACATACCCAATACCCAAGGAAGAGAATAAAATAGCGAAATCTTGTACTCGAAAACACTAAAATTCAAAAAAATCAAACTATGAATAGCGAAATCGCAACTTACATAATTGGAGTTTATGGGACATGAGAGCAGAGGGTGGATGCGTCTCAATCTCATCTCTCCTAGAATCCCTTCTGTCCCACATCGACTTTCTCGTTGGCTGTTGTAGAGGAAAGGCTTTTACTGCCACGTGTTATTGTGGTAGCACGTGGCTTATTATTTACACACATTTGCTAGTCTACAGTTATCTGAACAAAATTGAATATTTCTCAAGGACTACCCTTGTAGATGAGATGATAGAAATTTTGAGCAATTAAACTATCAAATTCAAATTAGAATAAACCAATCAACACCTTACCAAAAATATCTCACGAAAGGTTGGAGTATGTTCTTAGCATTAGGATGGTCCCACTTCACTACTGATTCCCACCATTCTTTTGACTTTTCCTTCATCCAGATTTCTCTGAGACGAGGAGGAGGAGATGGTTGGCCATTATCAAGCAGGGGAAGTTGCACAGGGATCCTTTTTAACTCAGGACAATTCGATATCCTAATTTCTTCAATAGAATCGCAAACCATAACTCCTTTGGCACTGCAGATGCTCTTCAATTGGGGTAACCTCAACAACCACAAACTCTCTAACTTGGGAAAAGTGAAAGTGAATTTATCCGATGATGATGCATTTAAATTTGATGAGGCTATTATCTCCTCCATTTGTTCACAACCATCAACTTCAATCCACTCTAAGTTTTGGAAGGCCTGCAGTAGCTCAAGTGGAAGCAACTTCCTCATTCCTGAACATCTAATTATATAAAGTGTCTTAAGATTGGAAAAGACACGTGGCGGTGTTGCTACTCCTTCCACTCTCACGAGTGCCCACAACCTAGGCAAATTCCAAAGACACAGATTTTCAAGCTTATCAAGTACTGGTTTACACGATGAGGATAAGGATGAATCCAACTCAACCACGTACTCTGTCTCTTTACAATCACTAATAATACAAACACCCAACTCGGTTGCATTCTCTAACAAAGCTGCTTTGTTTAAGCTGCTTCTGATGTTTTTACATTTATGGATCCGCAAATGCTGAAGTTTATGTGGAAGCACTATACATTCTTCTCCAATGTCACACTCACTAATTATAAGTCTGCATTTATATCTAAGATCGTCAAAATCGCTAGTATAGCTTTGTTTTCCCACCAGAAGCTTGTAAGCAATAAAACTCTTGAAATTTTTAAACTCAGTCAGAAGATAATTGAAGTCTTTCATGTCATCACAATTACATTCTAAAATCTCCAACTTTCTCAACCTACCAACCTCTTCTAAATTTATCTTTACACTAGTTGATTGCCAATCATTTGCTGCTGCCAAATACTGGAGATTAGATAATTCAGACAATATTCCTGTTAGAATCTCTTTCAAATCTTTACAAACTAAATCAAGATATTCAAGACTTACCAACATCTCCATGCCTTGAGGGACCACCTCAATTCCTGCCCATCTCAGATCCAACTTCTTCAATGCCACAAGCTTTTCTAAGGCAGGCAAGCACTTTAACTCCTCACACCCCCTCAACCGCAGTGCAGAGAGATACTCCAACTTAGAGATGGAACTAGGTAAAGCTTCAATATTGGTTCTAGAAAGATCAAGAACCTTGAGTCCACTCATATCTTCAAAAAAGGATTCTGGAATCTTTGTCAAAGGATTGTCTGATAATATCAAAGTTGACAAGGTTGGACACTTTGGAGTCAAACCAACAGGAATTTCTGAAATGTAATTGTCCATTAGAGACACTTTGTTAAGATCAATTGTCCACTCATGCTCATTTGGTACCTTTGTCAATTTCTTACCAGCTTTGATCATATATCCAACTTCAAGACCAATGCTTTTGATAGCCATGTCTCTCACCACATCATGCATCTTAAAACCTTCATCAGAAAAGTGATTAACAGTTTTCTCTAACAAGCAGTTCTTTTCAAGCCTATTTAAAAAAACATCAAACCTATCATAAGCATCTTGTCTTTTTTCTAACTCATGAATCAATCCTTCATCAATACAGCCTTCTATCAACCCTTCTCTAACTAACTCATAATCTTCTCGAAATAAGGAGCAATATAGAAAACATTTTTTGATTTCTAAATTTCTTAGACGGTCATAACTAAATCTTAACTGCCTAAATATCTCTTCCTCCATATCATTCACACTTTTTACGCGTTGGCGTAAATCATTTAGTGCATTTCTCCACTCTACAATATTAGGTTCACCTTCTCCCTTCATGCCCCCTGCTATTACAACAATTGCTAGTGGTAAACCAGCACACTCCTCCACAATAAGCTTCAAAATTTCTTCCAATCCTGCAACTTGTAAAACATCGTGTCCAACCCTGTTGAGGAATAAATTTAAAGACTCCTCTGCTGAAAGAGGCCGCACTTTAACAATCTTACAACCCAAATAATTGCATACTTGAGCTGTTCTACTGGTGATAACTACTTTACACCCATTCTGGAGGGTTGGTTCTGGGATTCCAACATCACTCAAAGAAAAATTGTCCCATACATCATCTAATATTAGCACAAATCTCACTCTTCCCATCATCTCCATTAGTGCTGCAGCCCGCATCATTTCTTCATCTTCTGGAAGTGTTCTGCCCATAGCAAGTGCAACCTTCTTTTGTAGTTCTAAAACATTGAGAGGATATGATACAGTAACCCAAATCACTTTCTGAAATCTACTCTTTGTCAGCAAATCATTGTTAACATGCTTCATGATTGTAGTCTTACCAACTCCACCAATACCACAAACCCCAATCATTCCAACTTTATTGCCCATCAAGTGCTCCCAAATTTCATCTTTAGTAGAAATTTCACCCTCTAAATTTTCTGTTGGAATTACAATTCCACAAGCTGGAGCTCTCCCAATGCCAAGGCCTCCTCCGAAAATGTGCCTCTCTTGAATCCTCTTCACCTCTTTAATAGTTTTACGCACATCTTTATCAAGACTGGCACGTTTGTAGTATGGAACTGTGCCTACTCTTTCTTCAACATCTCGTATGTCTCGTTCGATCTTTTGAACATCTTCAAGCCATCCCTTTACTTCTTCTTTCACCACCTGGCCCGACTGAACCTCTACTTGTATTCTTGAATTAACGTCAAATTCTCTCCTCTTTAGAACCTGCCATTCGCTTCTCAACTCATTCAGATCTTCTTCAAGATTTCCGTGGTGGACTACAAAATTCTCAACTTTCTCAACAATTTTGTCCATCACTTTGTCCATCATTTTGTCCATCGATGAATTTCCTAAAATGTAATAGTAATGCCGTTAAATTTATTTCTTATGCGGAATAAAAAAAAAAAAAATGTAACAAACAATGATAACTTATGCACAACTTTAATATAAAATCAAGAATTACAAACATAAAAATAAGGACTTAATTTTTCAACAAAATTTTAATAAATGATGTGAATTTTCTTCTTTAATAATTAAAATCATCACTTTTTTAAAATTTTTAATTAAAAATATGATATTTGTGATGGCACTAATTAGGGTTATTACTTTTTAAAAATTTTTAATAAAGAGTATGATCATGTACATTGATCCACTTAATTGTTTTTTTGTAAAGTTATAAATATCATTTGATTATAAACTTTTGAAAGATGATAGTCTTAATTGATAATGAAAAAATATTATATTCTTAATTAGAAAAGTTGTGAAAGGTAGTGTATTTATTTGTGGAATGAGAAATCTAACCAGAAATAAAGCTTCATATCATTAAAAAGGAAAAAAAATGAAATGAAGCTTCTTTTCTCTTTTGTAATAATTAAGCCCATGGCTCTACATGAAAACTATTAGATACTTTCAATTTATTTACATAAACTCTAATGAGATCGACTGTAAATATCAAAATCAAGATTGAAAGCTCAAAGATAGCTAGTGTACTGTGTACCTGGGGCAGGTTTAGCAGAAAGAAATTGAATGAAGTTGGAAACTGATACCAGAACAAAGCCGAGCAAATTAGATGTAGTAACAGCTTGATTTTTTCTTATGAGAGGAGCTTAATTAGCCAACTGAGGAGAACAGATTACTTCTGCCTCGAGTCAACGGGAAAGCCAATTGAAGGACATTATTAATATTTGGATATAGATCTTCCTCAGATGGTGCAGGAAACCTGGTCAACAAACAATAAAGCTATTTTAGGGGGTGAGAAATCCAAATTAATGCTATAAGAGATGAAAGAGAAAAGGCGCAAAAGGAGCTTCTAGCCGATACTTTAAATGCGAATTGCTGATTGGTGAACAAAATTCAAAGCATAAATAAACCAAAAAAAAAAAAGAGCTAAATTTACAGTGGATCAAAGGTTTCAAGTAACATCTGATTAGCTTGCTGCTCCCACATAAGTGGAGAGCAATTATCTCACTAGACTAAGTTTTAGAGATTTTTCATTTTCAATTAAGGGGATGAACATTTGTAGTGTTGTGTTTGCGATGGTTTTTACCACTTGTTTTAAAATTTAGACCAAATAAGTCAGATTAACTGGTTTGACAGGATTGGTGTAAAAAATGAACAATCATATCGGACAATTTTTTTGTATTATTTTTTTATAAAATTTTTAGGTGTAATTAAATGAATAGATGCATTTAATAACACATGTATCATTTAAATAAAAATGATTAATTATTTTAATAATAAGTAAAGTTGTATAAAAAAAATGATATGAAAAAATTATTTCTAAATCAATTTCCTGTAAAAAAAATAGTCTGAATTAAGAAATTAACCTAATAGTTGTCAAAATTTGGTGTGGTCAACCCGAGTCAGATTCAGCCAAACCCAATTAAACTTGGTCAAATCTAATAAAATCTGGTCAATCCAAACTGGTTC